AGATGGGCCTGTGCATTCTGTACATTTGTCCGCAAAAACCCCACCGTCTTGCAGTGGGTCTTCACCTGCTTCTCGAACTTTGCGAGCTTGCCACTGGCCACCAGCAAACGTTGACTCTCAGATTTGGTACTGTCCCTGGCAATTCGTAGATCTTGGAGCTTGGACTGCAGAGCCTCAGCGGCTTTGCTGTCTCCTCCGTCTTCCTGTCTGGTGAAAACGTCATAGGCGCGCTGCAGGACCTGAATCTCCTGGCCCAGAGCAACTGGTTTCCGATCTCTGTCCATGTTGTCGTCTTCATGTGCATCTGCTTTGGAAGGTCGGCACGTTCTGCAGCAAGAGCAATCGCAACAGGGCCAGGCGAACCGGCACACCCATCCTGGCATTGGACGCGGCCCTTCTGGCCACCACGCCCTTTCTTGCCGCCACTTCCTTTCTTGAAGGGGCCCAGGGACACAAATTAATGCACACAAATAACCAGATCCCCCATATTTTCCCATATGTTCTTGGTTTTTGTCTCCCCCCCCCACTCCCCATATTTTCCGATATTTTCTGGGGGATCGACGATTCATTGTTTCTGTGTGTTTTTTCCCCTTCTGATTTCCTACCACCTCCCTTGTCATCGCCGCTCTGGGGCACGCCTCCGCCAGGGCTCGAGCCGCTGCTGCCTGCGTGCCACCCCGCAGCCGTCTTCGTCCAATGCGGCCCGCACCTCCAGCACCAGTGAAGATTGCGGCTGGTCGTCGCCTGGCACTCGACGCAAGACCAAGAGAAGTCCCTTGGGCCTTTCGGCCGGCTTCCCATCGCGGCGGGAGACTGGGTGGTGGGCAAACGGGAAAGTACTGTGTTGTGTACCGGATGCTGCCTCCGACCTGGCATCTGAGCCAGCCGCAGGAAAAGAAAAGATGGGTCGCCCCTGGCTTGGCAGCCACCTGGTGGGGCCCCGGAATGCTTGGTCTCTCGTTGCGACCTCGAGGAATGGTTTACTTTGGCCAAAGTAGCTTGAGTCAAATTGGCTACGGACTCCTCCTCCTCCTCCTCCTCCTCCTCCTCCTCCTCCTTCTCCTCCTCTCTGCGCCCAGCAACGCCCGCCCACGCCCGCCCACGAGGGCGCGCGCCGAGGCGCGCCCGCGAGGCGCCGAGGAGCACCCACACGGGGCGCATCAACTGCGGACAAAACCGGCCACATCGCACGAGGCTCCCACCAGAGGCGCCCGTCGAAACCCAAGAAACCCAGGGCACGCTAGAAGCAAGCAGGGTGTTGTATGGCATGGGCCTCCACTGTAACTTCGGATGCAAGCGAGAAGCCCCTTCGTGCAAGCACTGCTTGGGGAATCGTGCCGCCGGGCGCGGGGCGAAGCCGAATCCGACCAGGCGCCTGCATCCTCCAGGAGAATCGAGCCTGCACTGCCAGGCGATATCGAAACACGAAGTTCACCTAGTAGCGCAACGATAACACGCACTCCCGAATATTTGTGGCTGCCAAGGGTGTAAATCCGCGTGAGACATATCAACAACATCCGCCAGTCTCCGAGACACACAGAGACCTGCATACTTCGTTGGGTGCTCACTGGCAGCTGTTGAGGGGTGGGTAGCCCATGCTGGCTTCAGCGAGGTACAGCGATGGAGAAAGGACGCTCGGCACTGACTACGGCCACCGCTGGCCTTTCTGCACCGAGACTCCCCAAAGACGTACCTCCGTTTTTAGAGCAATAAGAACGGCATAAACATAAACTTTTGGCGGTCCACGCTGATTTCTTGGGTCTGCGCTGGACCCCCCGTCCCTGGCGCGCGGAGCGCGCCAGGGGCGGCGCCGGAGTCGCCGCCGGGGGGGCCCAGCGCGGATCCAAGAAAACTGCGCGGAGAGCCAACAGTTTCTGATCATGGCGTTTTTTCTTCTTCGAATTTCTCCCGCACCTTGCTCCCTCTGACACGTCAGGGCACGCGAGCAGCCACAACGATGTGTTGCTGCATGCTGCCGGCTGCCTCTTCCTGGCCGACATTCGGCGGCGAGCGCGGGGGGGAAGTGAGAAGGAGAAGGCCTTCGCAGCAGGCGGCGAAACTTCTCAGAAGCCCTCGCGCCTCCTGAGAAGTTGTCCTTGCCGTGGGGGAAGGCTCAGATAACTTCTCACAGGCCGGGGGACTCCCGAGCCTTCTGAGGAGGCCCGCCCCTTCTCACTTCTCCCCGGGCTCGCCGCCGAGACACGCCGCTCACACACAGACACACAGACACACAGACACACAGACACACACACAGACACACAGACACACAGACACACAGACACACAGACACACAGACACACAGACACACAGACACACAGACGCACACAGACACACACACACACAGTCCGTGCGGTGTGCCAGACGCCTGCGCGCCGTGGCGGCGTGCGACGGGCCTCCGCTCGGGCTCTCCGCGGGAGCGTGGGCTCGAGCAAGAAGCAGCGGAGCGCAGTGGCGCTTGCCCGTCTTTGGAGCAGACGAGGCCGCGCATGAGGAACGTTGCGCTGTGGCCGCGAGTTCCGGAACGACGATGTGCGAGAAGAAGCCCCGCCGGGAGGCCGGAGGGGGGGATTTTGGGCAGCGGAAGTCCTACTTGTCCCCTCGGGATTGTAGCATTTGTATTTCCCCCCCCGCCATGTAGAGGCCTCCTCTGCGATGCATTGGCGATGCACTGGCGACGTCGGCCGTGCATCGGCGACGTCGGCGTGGGGAAACACGGGCTCCACATCGAGCCGCATCGTCGATGCATCGGCGATGCGGCGCGATCCTCCGACCCCAGCTACTCGGACACCATCTGGGAGGAGGAGGAGGAGGAGCAGGAGGAGGAGGAGGAGGAGGAGTCCCAGAGGCCTCTCGCTGTCCAACGGGCCCGCCACCGTGCCTGGAGCACGGAGCGGGTCAGCCCAAGGCCCACGCGGCTGTGAAGGGTAGGCAGGGCTGTAGGTTTAGGTCGGGCACGTGCTCCTACAGGCGGACTTCGAAAGAGACTCAGGAATAGGCAACAGGTACTCGCTGCATGTTGAGAGCAGCACCTCATTGTCGTCATCGGGCTACTCTTTGACTCTTCTCGAGTCCTGTCGAGGGATATGCCCGCCTTACCTGTAGGCTCAAGTCGGACCTGTCCCCCTACAGGGGGATTCTCGACGAAACATAACAAATACCCAGTCCAGAAAAATTACGGGGGACTCTTTTTTGGGTCAGTTTTTGAGCTTTTGGGGGGCCTTTTTTTTTTTTTCCTTCGAAAATCCCCCTGTGGGGGGACAGGCCCGCCTGACCTGTAGGCTCTCGCTCGGCCCAGGCCCCCGCCCCGCCCGCACTCCCCGGCGCGCTCCCGGCCGCCTGGCGCGCGGGCCCCCCCCCCCCAGGCGGGCAGAGCTGCGCGGAGGCCCCCCCCCGCGCTCCGCGCTTTCCCTGGCAAGGGGGCGGGCCAGGGCCCCCGCGCGTCGGAAGGGGCCCTGGGCCACACAAGTAAGCACACAAGTCAACAAAAAGGATTCCCTCTGGTCTCCCCCAAGTTTCTGGGCTTCTGTCTCCCTCCCCCCACTTCCCCTCTCTTCCCATATCTCTTCTGGGGAAGCGACGATCCATCTTGTCTGTGCGGTGTTTTTTCGTCCCTCCGGAGCGTCTCCTGCCCGAGGCGGCCCCGAGGCCCCCCCCCCCCCCCCCCCCCCGGAGGGCCCCCCCACAGGAGGCGCCGCGGCAGGCGAGCCCTCCGCAGGCCCGCGCCCGAGCCCCGCAGAGTGGCCGGCCCAAAGGGGGCCGAGAGGCGCGGCGGCGGGGTCGGCCGCAGGCCACGGCGGAGGCCGGCCCACGGGAGACCTCCCCCAAGAAGCCCAACCCTGAGGCCCCAGGGCGTCTTCGGGGGAAGCGACGATTCATTGTGTCAATGTGTGGTTTTTTGCCCCCTCCGGAGCGTCTCCTGCCCGAGGCGGCCCCGAGGGCCCCCCGCCCCCCCCTCCCTTGGAGGGCCCCCCAGGAGGCGCCGCGGCAGGCGAGCCCCGCAGGCCCGCGCGCGAGCCTCCGAGTGGCCGGCCCCGGGGGGCCGAGGCACGGCGGCGGCATCGGCCGCAGGCCACGGCGGAGGCCGGCCCACGGGAGACCTTCCGCAAGAAGCCCAGCCTTACCAGCCTGGAACATATCCCTCTCCCTATGCCGGGCATCGCCTCCTCACGGTGCCAATCCTGGGGGGTCCCTTGTTTTTGGAAACCGCATCCCTGAGATTGTCATCGCCTTGTGGCGAGTCAATCTTAGGGATAGGGATAAGTTCGAGGCTGGTGACAACCCTGAGGCCCCAGGACGTCCATCGATTTTTTTCGGTGTGGGGACGTCACGCCGTCCACGGCAGAAGCCACCGAAGCCCGAGAGACCCAGGGCACCCGGAAGGCAGGCAGGGTGCTCCCTGGCATGGGCCCCCCACTGTGCAGTCGGGCCGCTGGGATGAGGAGCAGCAGGTCAGGAACGAAACCCCTTCTCGACCCCCCAAGAGCGCCTGGGTGCACGAGGAGGGCTGGAGGAGCAGCCACGGAATCACCCAAGGAACAGCGGCCCCCCTCCAAACCCAAAGCGGTCCGTGTTTCAGCGTCTTGGCTGTACTGGAGACCTCCTTCACCGTGTACACGCCCGGCGCTGTGGTTTCTCATTAAGATCTTGCCGGCGCTTGACGCTTGTGCGCTTGTCGGACGATCCGCAGAAATCTGCGAGAACCTGATGGCGCCTGGGAGAACCTGATGGCGTCATTCAGAAACTTTCTGGTGTGCCCTACCTGTGAGCACCGTGTGCGTGAAAGCTCGCTCCCAGAGCACGTCGCCTTCGCAGCGCTGCTGCCGGGAGGCCCCCTCCGAGCCCGCTCGCTCGCGGCGCAACTCCCCCTCCTCCACCTCCTCCCTCCCCCTCCTCCGCCTCCTCGTCCTCGTCTTCGTCGTCCTTCTCGTCCTCCTCCTCCTCCTCCTCCTCCTCCGCCTCCTCCTCCTCCTCCTCCTCCTCCTCCTCCTCCCAAGGAAGGCCTCGTCCCCGACTTCGACGAAAAGGCTGGTGTCCACTTGCAGGTGCTTGTCGCCGGCCTCCGCCGGCGCCATCAAGATCGTCTGGGCCTGCCGAGTTCTGGGCAGCTGGGCCCCCCTACCCTTCTCGTCCGTCTCGGCGGCTGCCCAGGCGGGTGAAGGGAGGAGGAAGGGCGGTGAAGGGGGAAAGGAAGGAGCACGTGGGGCGCGGAGAGGGGTGCTAAAGATGTGAAGAAGGATGCGGGTGATGATGAGGGTGAAGGTGAGGAGGAGGAGGCGGAGGAGGAGGAGGCGGAGGAGGAGGAGGCGGAGGAGGAAGAGGAGGCGGAGGAGGGGAGGAGGAGGGAGGAGGAGGAGGAGGAGGGAGGAGAGGAGGAGGAGGAGGAGAGAAGGATGACTGAGGACTGGGTGAGAAGAGGAGGAGGAGGAGGATGAGGAGGAGAAGGAGGAGGAAGAGGAGGAGGAGGAGGAGCAGGAGCAGGAGGAGGATGAGGAGGAGGAGGAGGAGCAGGAGGAGCAGGAGGAGGAGGAGGAAGAGGAGGAGGAGGAGGAGACAATCCCGAATCGTGCCAGAACGTCATTGCTGGGACATCCACACAGCGAATCAAGATAGCTGTTGCACCCGCATAATCCTGAACCCTTTCAGAACACAATTTCTGGCACGTTGCTGATGATAATCCGTGAAACTCTTGCACATGTTGTAAACGGATGTGGGCCGCGCTAAGGCGAGAATCACATTTTAATCCGTGAGACTCTTGCAAATATTCAAAACGAATGTGCGCCGCGCTAAGGCGAGAGCCACATTTTGAAAACCACCCGCCCTCAACCCGCGCAGCTTTTGCAATTGATTAAACGAATGTGCGCCGCGCTCAGGCGAGAACTACATTTTGAAAACCACCCGCCCTCAACCCGCGAAACTCTTGCAATTGTTTAAACTAATGTGCGCCACGCTAAAGCGAGAACCACATTTTGAAAACCACCCGCCCTCAATCCGTGAAGCTCTTGCAATTGTTTGAGCGAATGTGCACCGCGCTCAGGCGAGAACCACAGTTTGAAAACCCGCCCTCAATCCGTGAAGCTCTGTCAAGTGTTTAAAACGAATGTGCGCCGCGCTAGGGCGAGAACCACATTTTGAAAACCCGCCCTCAATCCGTGAAACTGCGTCAAACGTTTAAAACGAATGTGCGCCGCGCTAAGGCGAGAACCGCATTTTGAAAAACAAATCGCCCTCCATCTGTGAAGCTTTTGTTGACTTTCAACTTCAAAGTCATACATGGTGAGGAAGTCTCAGGCGAAACGCCCGGCTCGCCCTAAAAACTTGCCTCGGAGTGCGACAGGGAGAACTTATGTGTAAGGAGGAAGAATGGAGGAGGGGAATGAGGAGGATGAGGAGAAGGAGAAGGAGGAGGAGGAGGAGGAGGAGGAGGAGGAGGAGGAGGAGGAGGAGGAGGAGACAGAGAAGCTTCGGGCGTTGTGAGAAGTGCCCCTGCGGAATGGAGCGAGAAGCTGGGGGCACCCCTGGGCCAGAGGCACCTCCAGCACCCCCCGCCCTTGAGACGGGGATCCATGCAAGCGGGGGTCGGCCAGAGCGTTGGATCTTGCAGGATCCTGCAGGGCCAAGGAGGCATTGCGCAAGATCCTGCAGGTTTCTGCAGGATCCTGCAATGCCCGACCGATCCGGCCTTTCATTGACCCGGGTCAGTGCGTCCCCGAGAAGAGAAGAGGATTGGAGAGAGCAGACAGGAAGATCGCGGCCCCCCTGATGGGGTCGAAGTAGGTGGGGAGGAGGAGGAGGAGGAGGAGGAGGGAGGAGGAGGAGGAGGAGGAGGAGGAGGAGGAGGAGGAGGAGGAAGGAGGAGGAGGAGGAGGAGGAGGAGGAGGAGGGCGGAGGCGGAGGCGGAGGCGGAGGCGGAGGAGGAGGAGGCGGAGGCGGAGGCGGAGGCGGAGGAGGGCGAGGCGAGAGGCGAGGAGGACGGCGGCGAGGAGAGGCGCTGAAGGGGTGCGACTGGCCGCGCTGCGGGAGCGCGGCTGCGAGGCCGGGAGGCGGCGGCGCCCCCCGGCGCTGGGGGGGGGCCCGAGGCGGCCGTGCAGCCCGCGGCCGCTCCGCCGGAGTCGGCCGCCCCGCGGCAGCCGCAGGAGGAGCGCGAGGAGCAACGGGCCACGTCCTCCTTCGGGGGGCGGGCGCGCGGGCGGCGCGTGGCAGAAGTACGCCAGACGAGGAGGGCGTAAAGGGGCCGGGTGGCACTGCGGGATCGCGCGGAGGGCTCGGAGGACGGCGGCACGGCGTGGTTCCTTGAGGACCAACCCGCGCCTTGGCAGAAGCATCTGGACCCGGCCACGGGCCGGTGCTATTGGTTCAGCGAGGCCCCCACCGAGTTCTTCCGACGCTGAGAGGCCGCCGCCCGGGCGCCCCCCGGCCCTGGGCCGAGCACGTGTCGAGGGCCTCAGTGCCAGACTGCTCGCGGGAGGCAGCCGTCACCGGTGCATCGGCGATACGGCTCGATGTGGCGCTCCATTTGCTCAACGCCGACGTCACCGATCCATTACCGATTCATCGCCGATGCATCACCGATTCATCGCCGATGCATCAGCGATCCTCCGACCCCGTTTACTCGGGCTCCAAACATTGGCGCGTAAGCTGCCCGCGTGAGGTCGCGCGTAAGCGCCTTCGTGCCCAATGGCGTGCCTCGCTGGCGGCCCGCGTAAGCCACCGCGGAATGCCGCGATGCCATCTTGCGTAAGACCCGCTTCTTTTCGTCGCTCCATGTGGCGGCCTCCAGACCACCACCACCGCCACAGAGCCGAGCGCCTGGAAGGACGCGTGGGCAACAGAACGCGTGACAGGCGGCCCTTCGGAACTTACGGAAGAAGCATGGAAGACGACGCGCCTCACCGCTGCGCAGCAGAGCAAGGCCTAAGTCGGGCGTGTCCCCCTACAGGGGGATTTGTTTGGGCGAAAAATAAATACTTCAAGAAATGCCACCCAAAATGTTCAAAAATAGTCAAACAATCGCCCCCATATTGTTTTTTGACTGTTTTTGGACATTCCCCCTGTAGAGGCACACGCCCGACTTAAAGCAAGGCAAAGGCGCAGCGACGCCTATGACGCGTGCGAGGTACTTGGCGGGTCCGTCGCCTATGACGCGTGCGAGGTACTTGGCGGCGACGTGCGAGCTGGCGCTCTGCGTCCTTCGTCGGGGACTTCGCGGTGAAGCAGGCATCCTCCACCCGCTCGACATCGAGGGGTAGCCTGAGGATCTTCCAGTGGGTCTACTCCAGAGCTAGGGTGTCCCACCAACCAGTGAGCAAAGGCGCAGCCCGCCTCGCGCACCGGCAGGGAAGGCGAAGGCGCAGCCCGCCTCCCGCACCACTCGGGAGGCGGGGCGAGCCGCCCCCTCCGTGCGCCGGCGAAGGTGCCGATGGCGCTCCCGCTGGCTTGCGGGTGGCGGCCGTCGGTGGCGGCGCCCGCGCCGGAAAGAGAGAGAAGCAGGGCGAGCGAGATCCTCCTCCTGCTCCCCCTCCTCCTCCTCCTGCTCCCCCTCCTCCTCCTCCTGCTCCCTCTCCTCCTCCTCCTCCTCCTCTTCCTCCTCCCCCTCCCCCTCCTCTTCTCCTCCTCCTCCTTCCCCCTCCTCCTCCTCCTCCTCCTCCTCCTCCTCCTCCTCCTCCTCCTCCTGCTCCTCCTGCTCCTCCTCCTCCTCCTCCTCCTCCAGAGAGGGAGAAAGAGAGAGAGAGAGAGAGAGGGAGAGGGAGAGGGAGAGAGAGGGGGAGAGACAGGGAAGGAGGGATGCCGGCGCGCTCTCGGGCTGGGCAGCTTCTGCCCCGCCCCCCCGCTCTGGGATCCGGAGCGCGCTGGCGCACGCGGCCACGCCTCGAAGGACCACGAAGCTCACCCAGCTTGCGTAAGCCCCCCTGCGCGGCCTCCCCCCTTTTTTGGCGGTGCGCACCAGGGGGTGGGGGGAGGGGGGAGGGCTCCTTAGAGGGAGGCCGCTTCTCAGACGGCGCCCGGCCTCACGTCTGTAGAGGAGGCCCCGCTCCTGAGGAGAGCAGGGGTGCTTCTGAGACGCCCTCCCCCCTCCCCCCACCCCCCTCTCTGGCCATCGCTCGGACGTCCCTTCCCCGTATTTTTTTCGGTTTCGCGCGTGCTTTTTTCGCCAGATGGTCGAGGATGCTCCTCGAAGGTCCTCGCCGAAGGAAAAATACACACGTCCGAGCGATGCCAAGCTCTGCGCGTGGCTGATTTTTAGCCTGCCCGGACTCCGGGGGCGCGCCCCGGGCAGGCCGCAGGCGGCAACCCGGCGGCCCTGCACCCGCATCGGAGTCGCACGGGTGCTGCACGGTGCAGGCCAGCGCCGCCGCTGCTGCCGGCCCGGCCCCGCGGCGCCGTTCCTCTGCTGCCTCTTCGCCCGCCCTCGCCCACAGCAGCCTCGCCAAGCGCGCACGACGAAGAGAGAGAGGCTGGGCTCTATACTCTCAGAGTGGAGCCTGCAACGGCTGACCCGTCCCCGAAGCGCCTTTTGCCGTTTCACTGTCCACCCACCCTCGCCCACAGAAGCCTCGCCAAGCGCGCACGACGAAGACAAAGACTGAGCTCTGCTCTCAGGGTGGAGCCCGCAAAGACTGACATGCCCATGAGGCGCGCTCCTCGCCTTCTCGTCAGAAGCTCCACCGAGCGCGCACGCCGAAGGCAAAGACCGAGCTCTGCTCCCTGACTGGGGCCCGCCACGGCTGGCACATCCCTTGAGGCGCCTTCCTCCCTCTCCTCGTCCGCCCGCCCTCGCCCACGGACGCCCCACCGAGCGCGCACGCCGAAGCCAACGAAACTGCCGAGCCCTGCCCGCAGCGCGCAGCCCACGGCGAGGCGAGGCCTCGCCCGCGTGGCTCCGCGCGGGCGCGCGGCCCCCCGCAGAGGCCCGTGGCACTCGCGCCTGGGCGCGCGGCCCTTGGATGCCCCTTGGCACGCCCGCCGGCCGGCGCTCGGCAAGGGCGGCGCCGTCGGGCAGCCCGCGCTGCGTCGCCGGCGGCGCTCGGAAGCCTCACCGTGAGCGTCCTCGGAGATCCGACGCTCCAGTGCAAGTGGCGCGGGCGGTCTGTGCCCGCTTCCGGCCTCCAGGGTCTTTTCCCAGGGCCTCGCGAGCGTCAAAAAACGACCCAGGGCGAAAAACCGGCCCTGGGGAAGTGGTCCAGACC